TATTCAGTCATCCCATCCATCGCCCATGTTTCTTGGTTAAGAAGGTTAAGAATAGACTTCTACTGGTATGAATTGCAATGGGTATGTCAGTTTTAAAGTAACATCAACTTTAAATAGAAAATTGAGCCTAATTCTGACCCATTATTCAAAGCCCACCCACCGGAACCCACTGTAACACAAACCCTCTTTCGAAACCATAGGAAGTATTATAAGAGCAGCGCAACCGGAGCAGGATCTTCTAGAACCTGCGATTCCCGTCTGTCGAACGGCAAACGCGTGGTGTTATTACCACCTCAGTGCGCTTGTCAAAGACGCCTCACCACTCCACATTCCCGTGACCTGGTCTTCAGTAGCCAGCCAAGACAAGGAAGTCACGGAGCTTGCGTCGCAAACAGAAGCTGGAATTGGAGGCCATTCTGGAATGATTCTGGGTGATCGAACGACCGCCAACAAGAGGAGCGTGATCGTATACGCACCACCCTCAGCGACTAACAGGACTGGCAGCCCCAAATATACAAGAGTAGATTAAGATGCTTCATGAGTATCAGGGCTGACGAACATAGAGGTATGGACCGAGTCAGTATCAAAATTAGGACATAATCAGCATATCGGTTATGAGATCTGTTTTTGGAAATATTACTATCTAAGTGTGGGGAGGAGGTCAGGACTATCGATCGGCTAGTATGCGGCTACAACTCATCTACAGCAACCGAAGGCCCACCAAATGACAGTTCCGCCCGCATGCATATTGAAGAGAGTGAGCTAGCTACACTACCAACCAGTTTTAATGATCGCCCCACCAACACGAAACGAAAGTACGAAAGCTACCAGACAGAGTTTAAGGAGTGGTACATTCAGAAACACTTTTGCGACGGAGTCACAGTCACATAGGGCAAGTTACATCTCATCTTGTCAGATCAAGTGGTAGGTAGGGGGAAAAATAGAAGAAAGGCACGGTGATGGGGGGGGGGGTATGTGAATACGTCAACACTGTATTCGATCTCTAGAACCAATAGGTCGCTCTTCGAGTTAACTCAATTCTCCACCGCCAATCTGTTCAAGTGAAACAGCTTATAAAGAATCTACAATCTCAATCCACTGAGACAAGAAAAAGAACTATCAAGATCGCTTGTACCACTCTCGTCTTGCTGATACAACATGGAAAAACAAACACACTGGGAAACTTCAACACGTTGGCTACAGGCGTAATAAAGACGTGCACTTATGCCCAATTGGTGTCGTTACTTTCTATTTGTTCGAGTAGTACAACATCAACTTGGAACCTTTTCCCAATTTTCGGCAATCTAAAGACTGGTATGATATCAAATTCTTGCGTGGGCGCGATCGCTTGAAGTCAATTTACGAAACACAAGTCCAGCTACGAACCAGTTTTCAATCGACTTGGATTAACATTTAATAAAAAAAACTCACATCAATAGACAGCAGGGTGTCCGACAGCTTGAGAGCGCCGATGTGAATGTCTCCCAAACTCGTCGCCATGGGGCATGGACACCGTAGAATCCGTCTACTCTGCTCTGCTCGCTCGGGAAGCTATTCGTGCGATGTCAGGACACCCGCCACGTTCCCGAAAGTATTATCTGGAACGAGCCATTTTAGACCCACAAGATTGTATGCAAACTCGAATTTCTCCTGGTCTCGACACATACAAGAAGATTCTAGATGGAACATGGGAGAGAAAATTGGCAGCACGAGGCTTTACTGAATTGATGGAGTACTTATGCGTTGTCCTCATCCAAGATTCTGCCTTCATGTTTGAGCATTTGCCACCTAGGATCAAGAATCATGCTGCATTTGGGGATCGGTTCCAACAGTATCGCACGCAGGTTTTGGCTAGAGCGCAGACATCTCAACACTCCATGGAGATGCAACTTCCAGTTGCTATGCCCCTACTCTCCCAACAAAACCGAACGCATCAGTAATTGATGCGTTAGCAGCTCGGCATCAGGAAATAGTCTAGCTCATTAAGGAGTCAACAACCAGTTTTCAGCTTTCCTCCAGGGTGAAATGGCCATCCACTTGATCCCTTCCACGCCTGCCATCATTAGTTCTGCACCACAAGCACGATCACTTACTTGACCTCGCACAGTCAGTACAATTCCAGAACTTAGAGAAAATCATGCAGTGTTCAGCAACAAACAGTTCACCCAGCACCACATTACTCAATCAGATGT